GCCTTAAAAACCATCGTTCAACAGGCTGAACTATGCCTTTAAACTAAATTGCTTTAAACTGATTGGTTGATTTAATCATCACAATGTTTTTCCATCAATCAGATCAGTTTGTTACAGATTTTTGCACTGTGATTACAGAAAATTGCACTGTGATTACAGAAAATTGCACTGCTGTTTGGGATTAACTGCACTGAAATCAACCAATCACAGTCGAGCAATATCTTTATGTATATTATTAGCCGAGATATAGGCGTTTACACTCAAGGTAGCGTTTTTGGAAGAAGCGAAAAATGGTCTAAATATTAATTTTGCATTATAATGGTCATTTTTCGCTTATTCCAAAAATGCTACCTTGAGTTTAAAAGCCTACATCTCGGCTAATATTCTATAGAAATTTTTAATAACAATAAGTCAAAGAGGGAGACTTTTTTGCGCCAACTCGTACAATTTCCAAGATCAGTTTTTTAATGAAATTGTCAGATGTGAAGATTGATGGTAGTAGAACAACACACTGTCTATCTGAAACCTAGCTTTGCAGAAAGTCGGTTTGCACAAGAATTTTTTGTTGCCAGGAAGAAAAATATATTTTCTAAGCCTGATGGAAATATCTAGGTATTACAAAGAGAACCAGACTCACCATATTACCCTCATTCGTCCCAACTTGTGTACCTGCTGATCCACCAACTCTCAGGAACTCCTTACAATCCATGGTCACTTCAATACCATCATTTTCTGAAAGTTGTTAAAGGCACAGTTCAGCCTTTTGAATGATGGTTTTTAAGACGCATTACAACCATTTTAATTGAAGAAACTATAACAAGAAAAATCAAGTAACCATAATTCAAGATCAGTGTACTCAATGTTTGTAACATTAAAAATGTTAGAGAATGTAAAAACATTGAAATCACTGATCTTGAATTATGCTTAATTGATTTTCCTAGTTAGTTTTTTCAATTAAAAAGGGCTGAAATGCGCCTTAAAAACCATTATTCAAAAGGCTGAACTGTGCCTTCAAGGCGTGTTTGCTGAAGATGGGTTCTATATAAAATTGCTTATTATACCGTTTTCCAACTGTACACACGAAGTGTCAAATTGAACGAATTTATTATTCACCGGAGAATAAAAATATTGTTCATGACTCACAGCTGTTGCCATATAATAATTTTTTGATCGAAACCTTCGGGAAACATAACGTCTTATAGCTACCAACATTGGTGATGATCCAAAACAAAACAATGAAAACACACTATTTCTCAAAGATCCCAGTCAATAAGTACAGTTAATTGTGTGACTGTTCAATTTGCTAACATCTTTATCCCTCTACTCCAATATTTTTACCTTCTATAAGTATTTTGTTCAAATTCACAGCGAATATAGGCTGTTACGTTTCTTACGAACTGAACGTATTAGCGGAACTTGCCCCCAACCGAGCCCGAAATTCCTACTTAAACACATGTACCGTCCACTTGTTCACTGCTATAAATACAACCGCTACTAGCCTCAACCTACGCCAACTGCTCAAGCATGTTTTATACCCCGTATGTAATTGAACGCTATCTTTGGGTGCACTGTCTTATTGTATGTTAACCATTGAGTGGCAGCACTCTCCCCTTGATGAGTAATATTGTCTGGCTTTAGACAGACTAAAATAATTAAGCAGGGCACATCAGGGCGTGTTCCCAATTAAAGGGTAAATTGTGCAATGTCTGTACTGTTGTGTTGATATGCAAATGCGGATACTCGGGGGGCAGTGATCTCTGAAAACCTTTGAATGATAGCTGAATAACCGAGTGTGTAAACAAAGCTGTAACAATATTTTTTAACTATGAAAGCAGTGATAGGCTCTAAATTTCTGTAAGCTACATATTGCAAGAAATTTCCAGCTATGAAAGATGGTAATATATTCATTTGGAAAATTACCCCACCCCCTTGACATTCCTATGGTTATATTCATGCAATTTGTTAGCTTCCTCTGCAGGCATCTCACCCAAGGAACTGAGTGGGGTGAGGCAGGGCTGTTTGAGGGGTTTTTTTCCTGGAATACAATTTGGATACAAATTGCTTTCAGTCTTTATATCATTTAGTTGCCATGCTTTCAAAACTAAATGAAAGAGGTATCCAAAATTCGAAATGGCAGGATACTAGGATAGGGTAAAAATCAAACCTGGGGTAAGATACCGGAGACAGAGGTTTTCTTGAACTGTCATTGCTGACCAAAAAATTCATAAATAATTAAATATCATTCATTAAAGTAATAAACATAGGCACTGTCAGTGGTTTCTTTATCGTTTCCAGAAACTTTTATATACAGTGACACAACATTATACACAATATGTTACCTTCATCTTTGTCCAAGCAAATGTCCACTGATTTAAAAATCCCTAATTTTTCAAATATTGATTTAGCTCTTTGACTATATTTAAGTACCTGTGGGGAAATAAATCATGACAGTGTTTTAGTGTTCTATAATGTGGAATTCCTCAAGCATGAAAAGCAATACCATGAAAGTAAGTTAGTAAGTGATAATCTCCACGGTTTCATGTCCTGTAAACACTAAAATATCCAAACCAGGGTCTTAGTTAGAGGTCGGGTTGGCCGTGTTATCGCGGCCAAAACATGGCTAGATAAAATGAACGCGGCGTCATTATTTATATACTGTAAGCCCGTGTACTGTAGGTTCATAAAATAAAGTGTTGCTACTTAGAACAGACAGAATTCTTCCTATTTACGTCATAAGAAAGTCTCTAAAATCTACTGTAGTTGTTGAAATTGGAAAAAGTGATCTGTGATGTTTTAATGTTTTGATGGATAATGGGGACCATATGGTATTAAAATGGTTTTAAATACCCCCAAGAGTTGCTGAAATAACTTAATATTTTAATGTCAGTACGCAATGTGAGCGTAGCCTTGTATTTGATTGCAAAGCATACAACAACCACAGGCATTTTCTGTTGTTGGCGAGCATAACTAGAAATATACACTGCACCCTGGTCATTTAGAAACACGCCCAAGATCTAAAATCCTAGCTAAGACCCTAATTCAAAACGACAGAAAATCAGGCCAATCCCAGAGGTGCACAGGTGGGCTTGTCAGTGGGTTTGTCAGGTCTGTGGTGGTGTACGATGAATGCACTGGAATTTCGATTCTTCAGAGTTTTAAAAGCCATTGATTTATTGCGCTAGAAGTACCTTCTATACCGGTATTTCTAGCTCCATGGCAATGCACGTTAACGTTATTGTGTCAGAGATACGAAATATTTGCTACAGCTAGACTATTGTGTTGGAATTTTTGAAAGACATTTATGAGTTTATAATTTTTGTTGAAATATATGATGTGTATAGTGTAAGGGTTTTATATACTTTGCATTGCAGCTTAATCAAGGCATGCAATAAATCACAATTATTGATAACCTGTAACCTGCGTATCAGGCCCTTATGTTTTCATTCGCCTGGATCAGTTAATTGGCAGCGGCGAATGAAGAGATAAGCTGAAGTGTGTGCAAAGGCATGCGCATAGCCCTAATTTGTTGCATTAAATGCAATGTTTGTGCAACAGTAGTACGTGATGAATATACTTTGGTTTGGATGTCAATCTTAACGTCTCACATTCTATTGCATGATGTAATTTAGTCTCCAAAGCATTTACTGTATACCTCTTCAATGGTTTTGGCAGCCAATATTCCCGAGTCTTCAATAACCCCTGATACAAAATCATCTTTTGTTCTTCTAACTCCATCAACATGCACTTTAGTAACTTTCACCTGTACAATTTAATCCATACAGAAAAGGCCAATTATTACACATTCATTGATGTAATTTAGGCTGCAACTAAAGTACAGGCATTCAACATACAGTAAGAAAGCATAATAGGATACTAGTGGACATGGCTTTCTTACACCAAGGCCGGATTTTGGTGGAAATGGTGCAGGAGGTCTCTGGCACACAGTCTACCTGGATGTTGGGGCTTAAAATGTATTATTGTGTTTATTATTAGCATGACAAAATTACTGGATGCTGATTGGTTGAGAGGAGTACAATTATTTCATTAATTGTACTGCAGTACAATTAATGATTTTCCCAAAACAAACAAAATGGCGGAAACGTATTTTAAAATCAAGCGTGAAATGAAATTGCCGTGGAGGAACTAGATGAAAATACGAACAAAATCACCAAATTTTGCTTTAACAAAAGAACTAAATGAAAATACAAACAAAAGCACCAAATTTTGGTTGAAAGTCTGGCGGGACTGGGCTTTGGCGAGAGAATATGATGCTGACATTGAGAAGTACGTATCCAATTTTGTCATGTTAATAATAAACAAGTAATCATGCGATGTTGCTCGTACAATTAGGGATTAATGGTACTCGTGATGTTTTGAAATTTGCCATATTGGACTCGCCCCGGCGGCTCGTCCAATTTTGGCCAAATTTCCAAACATCACTCGTACTATTAATCCCTAATTGTACTCGCCATCGCATGATTACCTATAATAATTTCACAACAAACATTTACATTTTAATGAATGATGAAAGTGACCACTGGGAACTGTCTGGAGTTTAAGATTCTAGACTAATATTCTTATAATTTTAATATATTTGTTATGAATATCATCTTAATTAATGGATGAAAGTTCATGAGAAGGGCGGAAGGCTGTTGTGTATTGGAACATATTGCTTAGATTTTTACTACATTGTAAGAAATCACCACACTCAGACTTTTTAATCCACATACTGTAGTTGTTAAATGAGTTGTCTTCATATATAACTGGAGTGGTCTTTTCAGAAGTAGCCAATACACTAGATGAAATCAATTATCTCAAACTCATTAATAATTCATGAGTAAATTAGCCAACCATGTTGCTTTATTTTGCTCACATGATAATACTGGCTTTGGAAAACTTTTGGAAATATATAATTTGGAAATATATTAAGAGTGAATGTCAGTAAAAATCGAACATATGAGACATTTCGCGGCCACGACTGAAAAATTGATTTTGCTTAAACTTTGCCCAGATATATACCTTATTATATCGGAAAATGCACCATATATTTTTTTAGGTCAAATACTTTATTAACTTTGAGAAAATGCCGTTTTAACACGACCACCCTAAATCGCCATTTTTTCAGGGAAAATATGCGCTGATTTTACAGATAAATTTCACGACGACAACCGTTTCTAATCGATCTAAAACCCTAAAAATCTTGTTTTCAGTTATTCAAAGGACTCTGTACATGACTTACAGGAAATCTGAGTTACTTTTAGGAATAGAAATAATCGGAGTTTTGGAGCACACTATCTTACTTTATTTACGATACCCTCTTAACAAAATCGATTTTCACCATGCGATAAAGCTCCAAATCGATCATGCTTCTACTAGTTGGCTCTTTAATAAGCAAGCTTTCAATTGACGTAAATACTTCTTTTGGCAAATGAATACGCGATAGACGACAGCGCGTTGAAATCGTCCGTTTTTGACGTCTTGCAAGTCAAACGCTGTTAATTTACATACCGTCGAAGTAAACAGTTTAATCAAGTATTTTAAGTATTTTACCTTTTGAGAAGAAGATGTATTCTTGAATAGAGACTTTTTACCTTGCTTAGTTTAAAATTGGTCCAAAAATCCCGAGATATTTGTAAAATATCATCATATACAGGTATTTTGAAATATAATATTGTTGTGAGTTGCACGACAACTTCAGATCATTGTTCAATATTGTCTACTTTTAATAGCGCAAACATGCATATCGATGAGCTGTTTAGTGATTTTATATTTGTTACTAAATTTCCCAAAATTAGAACTTCAATTGACAATTGTTGTTTTGTTCCAGTTTGCATTGATCCATATAATGTACCATTTAGTATTTACATATCGACTATCGAGTACTAAATGTTTACGAATACATAAGTTAATTATTAAGCAGCTGTTAATAGCGTGCGTGTGAAATGAACATTTATCCATACAAGGATTTGTTATTTTATTATATATTCTACCACCTCAAACTCAAATTATAGGCATATAGCAAATACTGTAGTTTAGAATAATGTGTGTTTACTTTGATGCACAGTTAAAATAATCAGTAAAATTACTTTATTTTGATACACTAATGTCTATTGATCTTATTATATTTCACAAGTACTAGTATCCAAAAATACAGCATTGAGTATTTTGGCCCAGTGCGACATCACAAATTATTATTGTCTCCCCATACGTCGCGTTTAAAGAAAATGAAAGCTTGTTGCTCGTTTAACGCCGGATTAACCACGTGTCAAATACGGCAAATGCCGTGGGCCTCGCGCTTTACTGTGCTACGCCCATTTTTACGAGAACACGACCATTTTCTATTGGGATACACCCATTTTAGGTGCCTCGCGAATTTAGGGACCTCGCGCATTTAGGGCCCCTAGGCTTGGCAGTTCGCCCTAGCACGGCCCCGGGAAAATATGCAATACTCGTGTTCATATTTTATTCTATTTTACAGATTTTGCCATTTAACACAAACTATTACACAAAATTAGTTAACACAAACTATTACACACAATAGATTACATGGCTGGAATTACCACACAGAGATTAGTTCTCCAATAACGGGGTTCCATATAATCTTTAGTTGCGTTGAGCTGTTATATTATGATCCTGTTTATACCCACCAACTGCGCCAGACAGGCCATTATCTCGTTTGTAATTGATGCAAATAAATTGAAATATTGAAAAAAATTATTTAACACTTTTGTGTGTCTTTAAATTCAATGATTTTCATAAAAAGAAGAAAGGGGGAGGTTTGGGGGCCTTGCGCTAAAATTTGCCACTGGCCTCGCGCGACGTTAATCCGGCCCTGGTCACTTGTCGGTAGTTCTTGCGGTTTTAATGCCAATTGACAAAGATCAAAAGAGAGCACCGATGACTCCCCCCGTCGGAGAAATACTGGCGCAGTCCAAACCAGCTCAGTGAAATATGGGGCCCCAAAGCCAATTATACCCTTGGGGCCCCGGTGAACCGCAATTACCCCCCCCCCCTCCGTCGACAAACTTTTTATCGCCTTGCAAATTTGTATTTGCCTGTCTTCCTTGAGCTGGGGTCGCGGAGAAAATTGCTCCCTTTGCCGCCTCCCTGCATGGCCGGCCCTGGCGCCGCCCTTGTCTTATCATAACTGGCGAGGCTCGATGAATTAATTGCCGCTTTCAAACAGAGGTTTATTATTTTAAACCTGTAGAACCAGAGTACCTTTTTTCACTCTGAGGCCAGCGAAATAACCTCTTCCGCAACATGCACGTACGCGTCTACTATCGTGAAGAAACAATCAATACGTATAATCGTTGTGGTCTGTAGGATTTTAATTCAATAGTGTAAACCTTGCAGTTTTAGGGAAGCCTCGCATATCGATTTTTTCCACAAGAAACGTCATATGTTCGTTTTGGGGGTGGGGGAGGGGGGTTTACAGCTGTGACGTTTCTCTGTAAATATCATGGAAAAGTTCGATAGTTTTTTCGGATACCTTAACATTTCGGAATCAACTTTGCAGAGTATAAAAAAGAAAACAACTTGAAAGAAAACGACTATTCAAATATAAGGGCTGGTAAACTAAAAATAAAAACTCCTTATATGGATAAACATTATAAACGTTCATTTCACATGTACACGCACGCTAACAGCTGCTTAATAATTAACTTACGTATTTGTAAACATCAGTCGATAAATATAATGGTACATTAATATGGACAAAATGGATCAAAACCTCTGAAAACAGCAGTTGTAGTTCCAATTCTTTTGGGGAATTTAGTAGCAAATATAATCCTTAAATAGCTCATCGATTTGTATATGTTAGCGCTAAAGTCAAACGGCCGGGTCGTAGATCACGTTGAATAATGATCTGAAGTTATCATGCAACCGTCAACAATGTCTCAAATGGCTATTCCATTTAATATCCGTACCCCCCCTGTCGAGGATACATGTTTTTCATAGTTATACCCCTGAAGAATTCCAAGCTCAAAACTGGTTACCCCTGAAGAATTCCAAAATTCCAGGCTCAAAACTCTTTACCCCTGAAGAATTCCAAGCTCAAAACTGGTTACCCCTGAAGAATTCCAATATTCCAGGCTCAAAACTCTTTACCCCTGAAGAATTCCAAGCTCAAAACCTTTTACCCCTGAAGAATTCCAAGCTCAAAACCTTTACCCCTGAAGAATTCCAAGCTCAAAACCCTTTACCCCTGAAGAATTCCAAGCTCAAAACCTTTACCCCTGAAGAATTCCAAGCT